GATAGATAGATAGATAGATAGATAGATAGATAGATAGATAGATAGATAGGCAGGCAGGCAGGCAGCCGGTGTTGTTTGCTCTGTCCATCTTGTTTTGATGATTGTTGTCCCTGATGGGCCAGAAAGTGGTTTGTGAAAGGACTTGTGATTCATTGGCTCCATCGTGGAGAGTAGTGCACATGCCGAGGAGCCACACTGCTGGGTCCAAGTCCTAGCTCCATACTCTCAAGCAAGTTATCAAGGCTTCCAGTGTGCTTATCGGCTAAATGGGGCTAGTAACAGCTGCTCTTCCTTCAGCCTTGTCAGAGGACGAGTGAGCCTACAGCGCCTAGAATACTGCCTTCCCCATAATAATCAGGGCATGCCACTGGCACTTTTTAAATAGCTTAAGGAATTTTATTTATTATTTATTTATCTGTAAGGGGGCTGTGTGTCTATGCCACTGTTAGCACTTTTTGTAATTTGGTTGTTGAGGAAGGGTCAGGACATGCTAGCCATTAATACTTTTATTATTTACTTATCTACTTATTTATTTCATTTAGACAAGGCTCATGTCGTCTAAGCTGGCTTCAAACTTTCCACGCGACTGAGGATGAGCTCCTCCCACCTTGCCTCTTAAGTGCTGCAATTACGGGCATTCATCACCATGACCAGCTTGTGCAGTACTGGGGATCAAACCCACGGCTCCTGAAGACGAGGCAAGCGCTCTTCCACATGCTGACCTTCAGCCCTTTGCTTATGGAGAAAGGGTCCCACCTTGTGTCCTAGTCTGATTTTGAACTCCAAACGAAGAAACTCTCCTCCTAAACCTGGCTGCCAGGCTAGGGGATGGCGAGGGATGGGATGTTGATCTTCCTGCATAGTGCTGCTTACTGACACCCCACCGGCAATGCATCTCTTTCTAGAAACTTCTGTTCCCAGGTGCTGAGGTAGACGTGGGAGCCAACACTCCAGCTGTGGTTTGTCCTTTGCTGCCTCTAAGACCCTGGAACAGCTTAAAGTACTGAATCACGTGGAAACAAGGAATAATGTCAGTGTGTGTTTATATTATGTTAAATATTAGAAATTAATAATGACAAAGAGAGAGAGAGGATAATATGTGTTAAATCCCTAAATCTATCTCTCGCAGCATCCCGGAAACCAAGACAAAGGAGAAATCAATGCATTCTATAGCCTTATTGCAAAGCATAAGAAAACACTCAAATTAGTCTGCTAAAATACCCAGAACAAGGCTGAAGCTCAAAAATGCTGGTTGTTTTTCCAGAGGACCCGAGTTCACTTCCCAGTCCCCTTGTTGGGTGGTTTATAGTCTATAACTTCAGCTCTAGGGGATGCCTCACTGAGCATCTGCACACACACACCCTAAAATTAAAAACAAAATTTTTAAAATACTCAGGTCAGGGCTATGGTTCAGTGAAGTAAAGGTGTTTGCCACCACACATGATACACTGAGCTCTGTACCTGGGACCCACATGGGAGAAGGCAATACCTCACTCTTGCAGGTTTTTCTCAGACCGGCACACATGTGCCACGACTTGCACGTACCCCCCACTGCACACACAATAAATTAAAAATAAATGTAATTTTAAAAAAGAAAATAAAGAAATTGTGTGCAACCCTCCGCCTCGTTGCAACATCAGAGCCAAGGAATCTAAAGTTAGCCTCAGTTGGCTTTTAACATCATCCTCAATTCGGCTCTCACCACTAATGAGGGTCCATGATGATGTCAGGAGGAACTGGAATCAGGTAATGGCTGGGATAATAAACAAACATCATCTCTGAGGGTTTTTTTCTAGCACAGAGTTTCCTTCCCTCATTCTTGCCTCAGGAACTTTTCTGAGTCAGGGATGGGCCCTGTTGAGGCAGAAACAGCCTGGTGCCCCAGTTGTTCACCGCTTTCTTCTTGCAAGAGAATGGGGCAGAGCAAGAGGAAACCCATAGCCAAGTTGAATGGACAGAGGGGGCACTTGATTGGCATGTAGCATGTTTCCACTGAGCCTCCAGATCAGAAGTGGTGTGATGATCCTGATGGGAGCGAGGAAGCTCCTAGAAAGAGAATCACTTCCTGCCCAGCTTCTGACTCCAGAGGGAAGTCGACCGTCAGCAAGTGCACTGCCTAGTTCTGTGTCAACCTGACACAAGCTAGTCATCCAAAAGGAGGGGACCTCAATTGAGAAAATGTCTCCATAAGATCTGACTGTAGGGCATTTCCTTAATTAGTGGTTGATGTGGAAGAGCCCAGCCCACTGTGGATGGTGCAATCCCTGGGCTGGTGGTCCTGGGTTGTATAGAAAAGTAAACTGAGCCAGACGGTGGTGGTGCACACCTTTAATCCCAGCACTAGGGAGGCAGAGGCGGGTGGATCTCTGTGAGTCCGAGGCCAGCCTGGTCTACAGAGCAAGTTCCAGGACAGTAAGACCTACACAAAGAAACCGTCTTGAAAAAAAAAGAAGAAGAAGAAAGAAAAGAAGTAAGGAAGGAAGAAAGGAAGAATGAAAGGAAGAAAGCAGGCTGAAGGAGCCATGATAAACAAGCCGGTAAGCAGCACCTCTCCATGGCCTGCTTGAGTTTTTGTCCTGACCTCCTTCAGTGATGGACTAGGATCTGGAAGTATAAGTCCAAACCCATTTCCTCCCCAAACTGCTTTGGTTATTATGGGTTTTTTTTTCATTACAGCAATAGAAACCCTAACTAAGACAGCAAGCACCTGCAGGCTAAAGACCACATCCATTCCTAGCACACACTGCAGCCTGGCAGCTTGTGTAGGAGAGCTCTTTGCCTAGGACCTGACCCCTTGCAACATTGGACCATCGCAATGAATGAGACTTGGAGCCATGTATCCGGGTCGTACACTGAATTACTGAGCAGATGAAAGCGAGAGGCATCTGGACTTTACCCAGCTTGTGCATCAAGGGGGGAGAAGGAAGTTTGGGGAATGCAAGCGACCAGCAGCACGCCATTTCCTAGCTGTTTTTCTGAATCAGCCCCTGTGCGCATCCATGCCTTCAGCAAAGTAGCTGTGTTCTGATGTGGGATAGCCAGGTATCCAGGTGTCCAGATACAGGGATGCGCTCCTGGGAGCACGGCAGGCGAGAAGCTGAGGTAGAAAGATCAAGAATTTGAGGGGAGGTTGGTGAGACCCGGTCTCAAAAGGGGGCAAGTGTTTATATGCTCATATGTAGAAACAAGGAACGGGACTGAGTTCTGCGCCTCACCACAGCCTGGAGTCTCCCAGAACAGCAGCAGGCATCCTATCCTGAGCTGACGAGGTAAACAGGTCTTGCCCCCTGCCCCACTCTCAGAGGGATCTTGGACTATCCTGAGGTGTATTGAACTCTCCTGTCCAGTTCAGAGAGCTACTAAGCCAACCTCACCCAGTACTTAGAGAACAGCTGACCTGACACATAGTTCACCCTCTGAGCACATGTGATTAAGTGTCATCCTCAAGGGCCTTGCTTTAAACGAGGACAGCCACCTCCGAAGGGAGGTGCCTGTCTGTCCAGTGTACCATCTTTGTGTTGGCCACCCAACAGGTCCTCTGTGCCAGGGGACTGTGTGGGGGGAAAGAGCGAGATTTGCCTGGTCTCTCTGGCCCTGTGACTCACTGCCACTGCACTTGGGTCATAAATCAATCATTTGTCCATGTGATCTGAGGACTTTTGTCCTCCTTGTTCTAGAGAGATGAAAGGAAGGGGCTATAATCCCCCTCAAAACACATACAGAGGTGGAGAGTTCTAATTTTGGAACTGTCTCCTGCCCTCTGGACACTCCAAACCCTCAAGAAGGAAGATTCACACAGAGAGCACAGCCACTGGGCTACGGGCAGAGAATGCGGGCAGTGTATCCCAGAGCAGATACAGCTCACAACTAGCAAGGGTGTTGGAATGAGGGCGCCAGCAACAGCTGGTGTCCTGCAGGAAAAGGCTTGTTGGGGCTTAGGTTACGAGTTTGGGTTGCATTTGAAAGTAGGGAGGGGTCTTGCTAGCAGTGAAACACAGGTGTGTGGTGCACGGTGCCTATTGCTCACCATGACTGCCTGCAGACTTTGGCAACTCCGTCTACTTCCTGCCTAAACTGGAAGAGTAGTCACAAGCTTGCTCCCTAGCATGGGCCCCAAACAAACAACCCTGAGAAGAAAGGAGGCCAACACCAGATGACATTGTTGACAAAGCATACGCTTTCAGTGAGGTCAAAGGGCATTCTCGGAGCAGCTGGATGAGGCCCCAGACACAGAGGTTGGTGTCTGTGTCCTCTTCCTTAGAAGGGGCACCAGGCCAGGTTCCTCCCCAGCGCCCAGTGACCACTGGGAGACTAGACAACGTGGCGCAGCTTAGGAAACTGTTTTTGCACCGAGCGGGTGGGGCATCCATATTCTCACAAGCGCAGACACTGATATCCGCTCTGATTTTCAGAGGAAACTGAAGGCTGCTGGCATTAGATGAGACTATGTGCAATGCAAGCCTGCCCTTTGCCCTAGCTCACAATGGCCCTGGCGTTCCAGCCTTCCGGCCTCAGGGACTAAGGCATCTACGACTGGCCATCTGTGTTTCCACCTAGCTCTGACATTTCATGAGAAATCCTGGAGATGGGAGATAACGCCTGGGAAGGCTTGTCTGCCCTCCTCCCGGCTCTCGTGAAGTGACCCAGAGCCAGCGTTTCTTCTCAGGATGTGACTGGCTGCGCGCCCGTCCTAGTCAGGCTGGGACAGCAGGGCGGGGATGCACAGGGCAGCCTTGCAACGTAGCGTCCCCGCCCGCCGCCGCACCAGGTCTGCGCCCAAATAAGGACAGCGCTTCCCGGAGGCCTGCGTGACGCGCGCGCGCGCGGTGGCCACGTCAGCGGCGCGGGGGAGGCGCGGGGACCTTGGTGACGCGGCTAGAGGAGGAAGGGAGCCCCCCCTCCCGGGATCCCCCCCCCTCCGGGAGCCCGACACCCTCCCCAGCAGGTCACCTTCCCTAGCGGGACACTCTCCCGGGACAGCTTGGCACCCATCTGGGGCCCGTGGGAGAGAGTCTTGGGGCTGGCTGTGTTACCTCCAGATGGCAAGGCAGTTAACCGCAGCCTGGAGAACCGAGGGAGTTTGCCCCAGAGTGTTGGGGTGTTTAAAACCACGGGCCAGTGGAAGCCGGGTCTTTAACAAAAACAACTAGCATGGGGCCACCTCCTTTGGATAAAGAGACAGGCTTCCCTCCCCACCCACTCCGACCTAGTCGGGTGAAAAGACCTGACCTGGGGGCAAATGGAGAAGCCAGAGACTCGGGTATCTGGCAGCTGCCTTCAAGGAGGGGTGGAACAAAATGAGAGAAACACTTGGGAGGGCAGCTGGGGTGTCGGGGCCTTCCTAGGGCATGGGTAACTTGCTGCCCAGTCTCAGTATCAGAGAAAGCTCTGGAAGCACCGGTCTCAAACTCTGTCCGATTTTGCTATGCACCCGCTCGTGTCGAGCGTGTAGTGGATGGGAAGGCAAGGCGGGTGGAGGGGGACCGTGATTAGTAATAGGATTTCAAGAGGCAGAGTGAAAGAATGCATTGCTGATAGGATGAGAGATACATAGAAGGCAAGTGGGGAGAATGAGGCCTGGACAGAATGTCCAGCCTGTGATGGCTTGGGGAACTTGGTTGTCCTTGTCTAGGGGAGGGCCATGGGGCAGGGAAAGTCCCAGGGCCGTCCAAACCATCTTTACACCCACAGCGCTGCTTACCCACATACACCCTCCGCCTCTAAGACCCACTTCCTCTGTCCACTTCCTCGAGCTTGGGTTCTGCTCCGTGGAGCATCAGCTGTGCGGAAACTTCACCTCACCCCACCCTCTGGGCACAGTGACAGAGGGGAAATAGGTTTGTAGGAAGAAAGCGGCTGCTTTTGCCAGGACATGGATGCAAGGACGTGGCGGGTTTGTTTTGGTTATGAACACAGTCTCAGCCTGGCTGATCTAAGCACCGTTATACCGGAGATTTAAGAGACAGGGGAACGGTGCCTTTCTCCAGAGCTGTGTGCTGGGACTAGGTGATACCAAACGTGTCAGAGAATAAAGACCAACAGGACAGAGTTAGCGCTCCTGCGTGTGGCTATGTGTACACTTTGGAGGCGTTAGCTCTGTCACTTAGTTGGCCAGCTCCTCGCTTCTCTAAACCTCAGTTTCCTCTTTTGAGAAATAGCTGTGGAAGGGCTCGTCTTGTTCCTTTGAGAGCTGAAGGGGACATGCTTATTAAACATGTATCCTCATCCTTTCTACAGGACAGTTTAGCTCCTGGCATGGAGGGAACACTTCATAGTAACTGTTGCCGCTATTAGTGGCAATGGCGGCAATGGAGGCACTCTGGGAACGGCTCATGGAGTAGGGTAAATAATAGTCAGGTGCTCCCCTGTTTGCCATTGGGAGTCCTTTCTCTTAGCTGTCTTCCAGGACCCTCGGGACCCCCGCCCCCCATCACCCTGTCATCCCCTTCATCCCGACACTAGTCTGGCTTCAAGGGAAGAGCGACCACGTACAAAGACAAGACAAATTTACACCCCAACTCTGCCATGCCCAGTGACATGGAACCATTTTGAGCCTCGGGATCCCCTCTCCCTGGAACGGGAA